TGTTTTCATTGTTACTATTTCTAATTTAGTTATTTGCATTGGTAGGAAAGAGATCACATTTCGGAAATCATCTTTCTTTTGTGATCCTAAAGCAACAGACACTCTCACTGCCATTCCCACTTCCTCCACTCCCTATCATATTCTCATGGAACCGTGCCTCATGAGGTTTGCACTACTTACACTCTGACAGCCCATGTCTAAGGGACCGTTGGCAATGGAGAAGTCACTAAACGCCACTGAGATTAGGAGGATTTCTTCTAAACCTATACTAAAACTGTTTAGAAAAAAGGTTATCTGTTTTTAGGCCATATTTTAGTGTTTGCTTAGGTTGCACATTGCATTCTCCTCTGATCAGAAGCCAGCTGCAGAGATTTAGGACTTTTTAGTGTATGAACACTAGCAAGTTAAAATTAATTGAGAAGTTGGCAAGGAAATAAACTACAGGAAAAATGCTTATGATACCAATTCCCATTACTTTATCTTGCATCAGTGAAAGGTGACACAGTGAAAAATTACCAAGACAGATGATAATAGAGGTTACTCTCTCCTCTGAAGAAAGCAGGTTGTTGTGCTGACTGAGCGTGCTTTACTTGAGGGATGGAGTAAACTTGTCATTAGGAATGAAATACTAAAATAGATTAAATTGGTTGAGTTTGGCATTATCATTCCAAGCATTTGAGCCATGGCTTGCCCTCAGACTGCCTGGTTTTCATTGCTAACATCCAGCATAAATAGGAAACCAAGAACAAAATAAATAGAGATGCTGTACGCCCCTTGTAGTGTCCATTTTTCCAATTTAAAATATGAGCTAAAGATCCTTCTCTTAGTATGTGCATTTTCTGTCAGTCTGCCACTCAGAAATAACCATTTATTGAAGAAAATTGCAATTTGCTTTGAAGCTGAATGCCTGAAATCTACAATATACTAAATTCCTGAAAGCAGAATTTTTTTCTTGAATATGAATTCCCATACAGTAGGTATGCTGGAATATAATCAGAGCTAAATATAGGGCATATGTGACATTTTTCTTTCCTTTTTATCTCTAAGTGTCATCATAATGATAGCTGTAGCACTGAAGTTAAATAGCTGCCTGTACATTTTCCTTATTTTAAGAATGTAATAAAATCTTTAGAAACCAATTGTTATTGCCTGTCTGCTTAGATACTTACTATTACATTTAAACTCATATCTCTGAGTTTTGCAGAATGTGAAATACCACTGATGATTTTTATATTGCTTTTCATGTATGGCTTGCTGCATTTCTGCATCATTTTTGCTCACAAATGCATTTAGTGCTTGTTTTAGAAACCATTATGAAAAGAACATTTGGTATGGGATTCACTCAGATTTTGTCAAGGCTGGTTAATCTGAAACATGCTCCACCTTCTTTGCAAAGTTCATGGACCATAGTTCTTTATATGCAAATTGTTTTCATAATACATCGTATTCTCATCTGTTAAAATAAGGATCATCATTTGTCTAGTATAGATATCATAATGTGCAGATCAGCAATAATAAACTGGACTTCATAAAGGGGAAATGCATTCTGAGAAGAAATTGATCTTCAGATTTTCTGGGGAATGGTTATATATAATATGTTGATGACTAGTATAGTGTCCTGTTTGGGACTGATACTGGATCTTTTGGCATCAGCTCAAGATTTCAGAGCTGCTCTTCCATTTTGGCTAGAAAATGTTTTGCTATGTACTATGGCAGTAGTGGAGATGTGTCTTTTATAGGTACATCTCAGGGTATTCTCGTAGGTATCCACAACGTATGTAGATCAGAATTGCACATGCAATGAGCAGAGCTGAAGCAGCAGACAAACCGTGGCTTTATTAGGTGGGATAAGGGTGTTCTCTGATACGTTCAGAAAATGAAGCCCAGATTTCCATAGTGCCAAGTAGGCATCCTAAGCACTTAAGCATTCAGTGCTAATTAGTCAGAAAAGAAAGCAACAGAACAGGTGGCCACATTGCCTAACGTAATGTGCATTTCTGCTAGTTTGTAATCAGTAAAAAAAGCAATGAGGCTAGGACTGTCTACCGTGCCATCATCTTTGTTGTAGTCAACAGAGCTGTTTGAAGTGCACACAAAATACAGCCACAGAAAGCAATGCCAAAATGAAGTTAATAAAATCTGGGATCTGGACAGGCTACTGAATGCATTCTGTGTCTGGTTTTGAGTACTTAAATTTCTGAGGACGATCTTCCATACAGAAAAAAGTACTAAGAAAAACACTGAAAATTTGTTGCTGTAGCTCTGGTACCTCTGAAAATATTCCCTAAGATAATCTTTCTTGTGAGGCAGATGATGACAAAGTTCCTTCTCTGTACTCTGGTAACAAGAAGTATCATGGGAGGTTGCCAATGCTTTGTCTAACAAAAACTGCACTGTAACAAACAAAACAGTTGAACTATGCCTGTAGCTTGAATTGAACCTGGAAACAACATAAACTTTCCATTTGTTTTGTTAAGGACCACCTTTGTTACCTTGATTTTCATCCAGACACCCGTGTCCTCCTGCACACATTTAAATCTGAGATGGTACTGTGTTCAACAGCACTATGGAAGTCATTAGACTGCTTAACTGTACCAGCAAATCATAAGAATGAATTCTTATCAAATATGCTAACACTAAAAACATGTTTTAAATCTTACTAGCTATGTACTTTAACCTTTGTAGGTTTTTTCTTTTTTTTTTTTTTCTGATAGGGAGGGAATGTTACATTTGTGCACATCGTTTATATAACTTTCCACTTTATGAAAACAACTTTGAAACATACTTAAAAGTCTGTTTTCAGGAAACCTTACCTTCCTTTCTTAATGTCTCGGAAGCATAATGAAGTTACACCTGGCAGTCAGGAGAAGGGAAGGAATAGCCAGAAAAAGAGAAATCACAGCTGCCCTCCTGATATTGCTCTTCACTTAAATCTGTGTAAGAGAAATTACATTCTGAACCCCAGTCCTTTGTACAAAACAGTAGCATTGAACCCAGCACTTCTTTTAAACCATTTTGAAGCAGAGAGCTTGAAGGTTCCATGTTCAGTTATATATCTTACAGACAAAATGTTTCAAACTTCCTTCCACTCTCTCCACATTTGTATTTTTATGCAAAACAGGGCTGGAGTGAACTAAAGATTTGATTTTACTTTCCCAAAAATTTTGTTTTCTAATTTTTCTTGGGTTTTTTTCTTCTTCCTTTTCCTATTCCTCATTTCTTCTTTTTTTGATTTCCAGGCTCCTGGCTTTACACAGTCATATCTCATTTCTAAATAAATGAAATGTTGTTTACTAGATAGGCTTATGGCCTCAGTAAGAGGTTATGCTGCACAGCAGTAGCATTTCTCACAGCTTTTCTTTCAGTGTTGAAGTTCCTGAGTGTGCTTTCCTAAAACCAGTATAACCCCTGATCAATATTTCAGATTGAAAAGAAGGTACATGGATTTTGTTACGTGGGCTGTGACAGAAAGCCCCAGACAATATGGTGAATTACTGCACAAGTCAGACATGTACAAGCAAATATGAATAATGAAAAGAGAACACTCCTTTCCATACTCATTACATATTGACATGAGTGCCTGAAGGCACTAAAAAAATGAATGTAGCATTTTTACATGTGTCTTTTTAATGTGGTTGTAAGTTATTTTCAAAAGGCATTGGCCTAGCTCCATGGAAAGGCGCAGGCGGAGAAGTCTTTCTGCTGCTTCTCTGAGCTGCCTGAACACAAGGTAGCAAGGGAGCCAACTTAACGTGGGATGTGTCTTTAATAGCATTTTGGGGAAATGGTGATATTTAGCTTGAGTTGAACTGTGAACCGTACAGCTTCTGAGAAAGGAGTTCCTGTGTGCTTGCATTCGTCCTTGTAGGCACACCTTGATGTTAGATAGAATAACCTTGCAGGCATACCTGTAAATGCAACCAACTTTTTTTGAGGGGAATGTTTTCCTTATTTCTCTTTAAATGTAACCTCCATTTTCTTTGCTAGTTTTCTGGGTACTTTCTTTTTTAAACTCCTTGCACAGAGAAAAGGAGAAATGCAAGCTATTTCTCTGTTAGGTTAAACAGGTTCTTTCATTCATATTCAAAGAGAGCAGTGTATATTATTCAAAAACCAAGCATTGAGCTTCTTTCAGGATAAAGCTTTGAAGGCAAGCTGTATGAGAAGAAAGCATCCATTGCTTAAAAGTACACCAGATTAATTTAGTTCCAGTGAAGTTAGCAGAACTTCTCAGATCTCTAAACGTAACCGTCCTTTAATTGGCAGCTATTGATTGCCTAGTATTACAGACTTTTGGTGTCATTTGGCCAAGTCTGTTGGTTTGTTTGGGTTTTGGTTTTTTTCACTGAAAAAAGAAATGTTAAGCCCTATCTATCCTGATTGTAGAAAGCTTACTGCACATGGGGGAAAGTATCCCTGTCACCCTGAAAACAGTAACTGTTCAGGATGTGCTGTCATCCTGAGAGGTCATCTGCTTTGAGACAAATTTACTTCTGTCTTGTTAAAAAGAAAATTAAAAAAAAATCTATGCAGTATTTGAGAAATGACCTTGTATTTCATACTAATGAATACTCTAATGAGCTCAGTCTCTTTGATCAGAATTTCTCTGTCAAGCAGATTTGATGGACTTCGCTGTTTAAAATCAGCGGTGCATATCTCTTAAAAATACAAAATAAAGCTTACAAAGAACATGTGGTTCATATTGATTCATGTAATGTCATCTTAAGTGGTTATAATAAAACACCACATCTCTAAGACCTTCCGCTTCAATAAAACACTGTACATGAGAATAACACTAAGATAACTCACACTTGAAACTCCCTTTTGAAACACTTCTCCATCTGATAGTATTAAGACCTTTTTCCATAAAACTCTGCTGTCCCTAAAATAACTTTACAAAGGGACTGGTGCAAAACCAGCCTTCCAGCACTTTTTTGCTCTCCGGTTTGCCATCGCAAATAGTTTGCTGCTCATTTAAAGATGAAATAACACTATTGGCACACTTTGTAATTAAAATGAATAAACAGGATCTTTAAAAAAAAAAAAACAAAAAAAAACAAAAAAAAAGCTTTCTTTATTAGAAGGCGAACATAATTATCAATATCCTAAATAAATTAGAAAAGTAGAAAAAAACAGTAGGTCTTTTGAGTTGTTTCTGTGGGGTGTCAAACCAGTTCATATAATGGGTATAGGGTATCAGTTCTAACTGTAGGATATTTCTACACTGAAGAAGGTTTACATGAGCTAAGCTTCAAACCTCTGCAAATTGGGGAGTAGGAAGGATATTAAGTATTTTAAATGTATTTTCCTTATATGGTCACATTTACCAATTCTTCATTAATAAAGTGGAAGCTCACAAATTCACATGCTTAAAATGGCACTGAGCTCTTGTACATTTAGAGGTAACAAAAGGAGAGTAAATAATTTTGTTTCAAAGGCATTTAGAAGTGATCCATTATTTATGCTGCAGATTTTTTTTTTTCATAGTGGATTGTGATTTATTTGCTTCTAGGTAAAACTCGAAGGACCTGTCTTCTGCCTTCAAAATCAGCAAATGAGCATAGCTTTAAGGACTTCAGCAGAAACCAGCTATCAAATTATCCTACGCTTCCACTGACCAAGTCAATAGAAACTCTACAGCAAGGGGAAAAAGAAGGCCGGTTGAGTTGTGCGCATCGTGCTCTGAAGAGCTCTGTCAAACCTCCAGCTGTTACGAGTCTGAAGAAGAACCGTAGAAGTTTACCAGTTGCTGTCTGTCGGAGCTATGAAACTTTGGATGGCCCCCAGGGTGTAGATACGTGGCCAAGATCTCACTCGCTGGATGATCTCCAGGGAGAATCCAATACTAACCTACAGGACGCTAGCAAGGAAGTAGGTTCTTTTCCTCAGGATTCACTGGATATAGCAAAAATGGCAACTGGCTCTGCCCGGCTGCCTCAGTCTTATGGAGGCAGCTGTATGGTAGATGACTTGATGGCTAAGCAGGGTAAAGGAGCTGCTAGTTCTCAGAAGGGAAGAGCTAAGGAATTGGAGTGCTCTGTAATGGAGACTGCAGGTGGAAAGCCTGTTCCATTCCCCCTGAAAAACTGTGAAGCTCAGCCTGCCTTAGTGACACATCTTGCAACAAGGACGCCTCTGGAAATACAGAGTAAAGGCTTTCATGACCTTGCACGGGCTGATTATGCTCCAGTCCTCAAGGGAGGTCTAGAAGCTGAGCAAAAAGGCACAAATGAGGCAAGAATGCAACCAAAAAATCCTTCTCAGCCGCCACCTGTCCCTGCCAAAAAATGCCGAGAACGCCTTTCTAATGGATTATATCATCCTCCCATGACCGCAAGTGGGAACCACTCAAGTCTGGAAGCACCATGTTTGCCAGTAAAAAAGACGAGCTCATCCACTCCCCTTGATTGTCACGGAGTACCTGTCCATAGGCCATCTTCTGAACAGGAGCCCAGTACCCCTCCTAGCCCACTGCCACCCTGGCTGTCGGAGCTCCCAGAGACTGCTAGTGTTCAGCAGCACGTGATAAAGCTAGGTCCTGCTTCAGCAAGGAAAGTCTCTTGTAGCAGGGGAATGGATCTGGAAATGGTAATAGAAAACAAGTTGCAGTCTGAAGATATCGATCTTACTGAAGAACCATATTCTGACAAGGTAAGTGGAAGACATTGCTTCAATGTTTTCATTCTACTAGCATTCCAAGGGATAGTCTTTCATATATTGTATCAGTTGGATTTTTGTGAGTAACCATGAATCATTGGGGTATTAGATATTCCCTAAATATGTTTGTCTTTACAATCAGGCCTTACACCTAAAGTAACTCTTGTGTTGTGGGGGGACTGAGAAATCCCAGACTTACTCTGAACCTTCATCTTTTCAGGCCACTAGTACCTTGATGGCACTGGGTATGGAAATGTCTCTTTCTCTGCTAGTGTGCGGAAGTAGAGCTGAAAAAGGAAGTCACAATTACATTCTATGCTTCAAAAAAAGTCTGAATTGATAGCATAGTGATGAGGAAGTGATGGGGAAGGAAGGAGTCCTAAGGTCCCAGCCCTTCCTTTAGAGATTGCTTTTTCCATTTTCATAGAATCTTGAGGAAAGCTCCTTCTTGCTCCCATCCTACAGTTCTCTTTGTTTGCATTGATTGGTCTGTGTTGATACACTTTAATCTATCCTCTCTCCTTTGTGTCTGGCTGGGAACATTCAGCACGGTCGCTGTGGCATTCCTGAGGCTTTGGTACAGAGGTACTCTGAAGACTTAGACCAGCCTGAAAAGGATGTTGCCACAAACATGGACCAAATCCGGGTAAAGCAGCTGAGGAAGCAGCACCGCATGGCAGTGAGTATTTCCATGAATCCAATTTTCTTACTTTCAAGCAAACTTTTAAAAAGGACTGACTACTGGTAAAGGCCGATACCTGCAAACCCCTGGTACGAGAGTGCTCCCTGTGTTCACCGCAGGCAGGGGTACTACAGGGGCAGGAGGTACCTTCCCTTGTCCCAAAGGAGGACAGTTAGTAGTTGAAAGGAGAGCAGGCAGCCCTCTTTCTTGACTGAATAGTAGTCCTGAAAGTCTGAGCAGGCTGCAGGCAGTGGTAACAGAGACTTGCTCACTAAGGGTGGCATATATTAAATGCTTCAGTATTGAAACGCTCCTTTTTCATTTCTTAAACTATACTGTTGTCTAATCCTCGTTAGCCAAAGCAGGAGGGGGGAACCATCAAAAGCTTTCACGGCTTTTTATAAAAGAACTTGGTCTGTCTGAGGAGGTAATAGGCAAAATTGGTATTCTCTTGCCTAACTGAGAAATTAAATGGATCACCTGGAAAGTCTTGTCACTGGTATTTTTTACGGATCTCAAACTAATTCAGAATGGCACATGACAGTCACCCAAGCAGCTGGATACTGCCCATTGCATCTGCATTACCAAAACTGTTGCCATTGCTCCTATGGCGAGTGATCTTAGCCTTTCAACTCACACCGCTCTCATACTGATAAATGTGACATGAGAGAAGTTGAAACATCTGCTATGAAATTCTACCAGTTTGGAAGAAAAAAACAAAAGACAACTCACTGTAAAACAAGCAGGTATGTTTAACATTAAGAGTTCTTTTCTTTTTGTTTTTCTTTACTGTCCAGATTCCAAGTGGAGGGCTCACTGAAATTTGTCGAAAACCTGTATCCCCAGGACTTATCACCTCTGTATCTGACTGGCTGATTTCCATTGGTCTACCTATGTATTCCAGCCTGCTCTCAGAAGCAGGATTCAACACACTGAGCAAAGTGCCTTCTCTGTCACAAACTTGCCTTCAAGAAGCTGGCATCACAGAGGAGAGGCACATAAGCAAGCTCCTGGCAGCGGCAAGACTCTTCAAACCTCTTGATCCAGAGGCCATTCAACATGCTCCATAGTGTGACATTGCCTGGTCGAGAATCCACTGCTTCTTCCTGCACCAATATTGCTCTAATTACTTCATATAGCTAAAGGGATCAAGGAAGCGGCTCCCAAGGGCAGGCAGATACCTTCTTCAAAGGATATGAAATGTTTCTATTGCTGTCTTTGGCAACTGAAGGAGAAGAGAAGCAACCACCAGGTAACATACATGTGGTACTTCCCTCCCCCCTTGCTCCCCTGTAAAGTATTCTTATTTCATAAAGTACACAGGGTTGGCCTGAGAATCAGACAGCTTCACAGAATTAAGGGACCCTTGCACATTTTCCTCAAATTTGTGAGCTCCTTATGTTGGGGGTCTTCTGTGCATCTAGATTCCACGTACCTGGAGTCAGTCCTAAAGACCAGGTACAGGCCAAGGTGCAAATTCCCGTAGAGCTGTTTGGCAAATGCCTTTTGTTTATTTTAGCAGTCTAGAGCTAAACACAAACCACCCCGGTCATCTTCACTGTTGCTTGCCGTAGGTCCCAATACGCCACAAAGCCTTTAGCTAGGCCAAAGTTAATGGACTGGAATTAGTTTTCAGTATGGTCCATCTCTGTCACTCCAGTGCAACTAACCTGCGGAGAGTCAGAAAGCTTCTTTTTATTTGTACAGAGCTGAAGTCATTTTTATAACTGCTTTCTAGCAATCAGCTTTTTATTTGCCTTAAGATAAGCTTTTAAGCAGTTACCTAGTGTTTGCTTACCTGTATTCATGTTTCCCAAGCCTTGTTTCAACCTGTCACCCTTAAGCTCACTTAGGGTGATTTCCAGCTGAAGTAGCTCCTATGAAATGCCTCACAGTAACACCTCCCGTGTTGTAGAGATGCTTTTACAAATGCTGGGTTATGCTAGGTTTCAGTTGTCAGGCTAACTTCTTATTCACTACAGTCTGCATTTACTGTTGTTACTAAACTGTTCCAAGATATACTGCCTTGTATATATGTAACTGCTTTTCATTTTAATCATACTCTGTGTACTGTGTTATACTGTCAATCATCATGCTGCAGCTTTGACTTGGTATCCTGACCATATTGATTCCAAACAGTGGGCTTCTGCAAATGAAAATTCATTTGTGGGAGATAAAATGCATCGAAAAAGCAAATTGTGTCCCACAGAAATCATCAGATCCAGTAACTCCATGGCATGGATGAAAAAAATCCTACATAGTCTTATGAATTACACTGTGATTTTACAACAGTCAATACCCTTCAAAACTGTGTGTTAGTTACCTCTCAGTGGAAGAGAGCATTGTTCTGGCATATGTGGTGAACCATTTTTCCATGATGTAATGATATTTTTCTGCCTAAATCCATGTAAAACGTTCCATTCACATATGTGGCTAATGACAGATTTTATTTTTCTATATGGGTACACGTTTTATATACAAAATACAGATTATCATAAATAGCACATAACTAGCTTTTTCTTTGGGGTCTATATATGGTGGGTCCTTCAGCTTCTTGTCGCGCAAACGCTCCTTGGAAGACAGAGCAAGCTTACTCTGACAGGTAAAGGGAGGTAGCATGGAAACCTGGGCACAGGCCAGGACATGTGGCTGTTTCCAATATCAGTTCTGACATCAGCTTACTGTAAAAAACCGGCCAAGGCACTTCAGTATTTGGTGCCTGTTACCCCAGGCTCATATTGAGCTAATGACACTTTTCCTGATAAAATGCTCTCAGATTGGTGAATAAAAAATTGCGGTTACCCCATGATTCCTTACTATATATCGTCCTTTCATGGTCATGTTTTAAGTCAGATGAACTATGCATTTTACTACAGAGGATAATAAATTTGGCTCCTGGTAGAATTGATAGGTGTTAGGTTTACTTCCCTCATTTCGTATTTCTCCACTGTTTACTGCACTCCATCATGTGAAGGCAGCTAATTCACTGATGTAACTTGATATCGTTCTCAAGTGAAGCTCCTCCAGATCTTCGTCTGTAGTGTTCTCCTTGGTGTGTGGATAATCAGTATGTTCTAATATGACAGCATCAGGAAACGTACAGCATAGATTTTTGCACAGCTGGTGAAAATCAAAAAGAAGAAAAAAAATTGGGAAAAAAATTAAATGTCTTTTTAATAATGCTGATTTGTCTGTTGTTCCTCTCTGAGGCTTACATGGCAACCATCAGTAAGCAGGAGATGGAAAGAGACTCTCTGAGGCTGCTGGCAGGGCCCAAAACTGAGTAGAAGTAAGTAGGCAGCAGCTTCACTGGAACAAGGGAAAAGTCCAAGCCAGCTATACGCAATAAAAAAGGAAATGAATTTCCTCATGCTGCAGGGAAGGCAAGTCATGTAATAAAGCTCTCCCATATTATTACTTTCCCCTCTCTTAACAACAGAATTACAGGAATAAGCTGAATCTGTGTGCCAAACACTCTTTATAAATCCATGATTTTTAAATGATTGTGTAGACCAGGGAAAACAAATCACACCCACCAGGACTAGGGTGAGCAGTCAGATTTGTGAGTTTTAGTAGTTGCTTTGTTTTTCTTTTTAAGACTGTGCTCTGTGGTCTTACTTGAATTACAATTTTAGTTTATATTTTAATCCAAAAAAAGCCTTAAGCTTCTCAGTGTTTGAGCTTCGCTGCTGTGGTTTCAGTGACCTGTGGCGTTCCCCGAGCAGGTGAGGCGGCGCAGTATGAGAGCCATAACCTCTTACATTTCCTCACCGCCGCGTAGTGCTCTAAGCAAAAGTTTGCTCGTTGACTCTTGGGAAGCACGATGGAAACCTGCTGCTGGAATCCTAATCTGCTCTGCTCAGGCAAACAGTGTTTAGTATCTATCCATTGTACCGTTGTAACTCAAACAGCTATTTAACAGTAGGAGCAGCAAGCCCAAAATATTACCGAATGCCATCATAACCGTAAATGTCGGTGGATAACCCTCTGCTCCTACCCAGGTGGCAGTGACGCCCATAGTTCCCTGAGCTCTCTTACGAGCCCGGCTTTGAATGCAAACTGGGAGCATGATCAGAAGCATTAAACATTGCATTGTTCAAACAGGTCATCATCTCTAAGAGCAGCAATAGTGGTCAATTCACCAAGTCACAGCTGTGCAGTTGTACTGTATTATTTTTAGAATAAATAATACTTTTGGTCCAAGATAATTTTATCTTTAATTTGACACCCTCTGGGGAATCAAAACTGTCAAGCAAGTTATGTAACAACTAACAAAGTTGCACTTTCTGTATATGAAATCAATATTTAAATAACTTATTTTTCTCCATTTGCTGTTCTTAAATGATGTAAGTAGCTGTAATATACCAGTACTCAATATGTCCTGCAGTTTGCTTCAACCCAAGAAAGCTGTTTATTGTAAAGAAAAAAAAAAGGAAAAACAAAATATGAATGTGTAAAGATTATTGTGCTGTTTCATTTAGCAAAAAAAAAAAAAAAAGGTTGACAAAAGGGTTTTCCTGTGTATCAAAACTTGTCTATAATTATATGTCATACTGTTCATAGATAAAAAGTAAATAAATTTCCTTGGTCTCTCTCTTTTTTTGGTTGTTTTTAATTTAGCTAACAGGTCGTCTGTTTACTGGTCTGGTAGCGGTGTTCAGCTACTTAATTTCTTTGCTTGTGTCCCAGGCCCTCTCCCTCCAGCTTACCAAGCCTGTAGTTCCTCACCTTGTAAGCACTCTCAACACATATCTACAGCAGGAGGAAAAGGTTAAAAAAAAAAGATTGAAAGCCCTGATAATCCAAGACTAGAAGCCAGCCCTCAAAATGCGATTGCATGGGATGTGGATCATCATTGTCCAAACTTTGTCTCATATCCCATGAATGTCCAGCTGCTGGGCTCAGGAAGACGCTTGCAAGAGGTCTCCCAGGTCTCCCCTTTAAAAATTGATGGAACCAGAGGAAGATTATACGAGTATTATGCTCTGGAGTGGTAGTTACAGCTCTTGCCTGCAAGAAGGGATTTCAAACCTGGCTTTCAAATGCAGCTCCGCTTCCTTGGGCTGGCAAGGTGTCTCATTTTGGAGAGGGCGGCTGTGCCTCCTGGGCAGTCAGGTAATCTCCGCAGTCTGTAATGAGATGCCAACGTCCAGGTTTTAGGGCAAAGGAGCCTTAGGACATGACTCTTGGCACTTCCTTCTAGTTCACTTGAGTGACTTCTTGCTTAGTGTCTTGCATTTGTTGGTCTCGTTAAATTTGCTGTGTAATTAATGGGTATGCTTGGCTACCTAACAGAGTGCTGGCAGATCCACGTGGCAGCAGAGCACCATAGATGGAAGCTAATCCTTTGTGGATTTAGCCCTAAGGAACAGGGGTGGACTGTGCCTGCATTAGTTGTTGTTAACCAGAAGCTTAACTCTGGAAATGACATAAAGAGAAAACAAACAAAACAAAAAAATATCGTTTGGGTTGGATCCAGACAGCTGAATCTTCGGTTCCCCTCAGGCAATGCTCCCATCAGAACTGTACAACGTGGCAAACAGTTCGTGGGAATGAGGTAGCATGTCAGATGTGAACTTTTAATTTTTCTCCTCTATTAATATTTTTCGGTTCAGCTGAGGACCAGGCCGCTGCTGTGCTTTGTGCACCAGAGGGCAGTGCTCTGCTGGCCGGCCGAGCGCCCTGGGCCGGCCGCTGGCGCAAATTCCGGCCGTTTCCAAGAGCCTCTCAAGTAACAAAACAGAAATAAAAACAAAACAAGCACTGCACAACATGAAAAGCCAGAGTGCTTGCCATTTCTGCAGCTGGAAGGAGCGTTGCTTCCCTTCCAAGGCTGCTGTGGTCCAGGATTGCTGTGGGAGCAGCTGAAACACACAGCCCCTATCTATTGCTCTCAGCCTTTTGCTCGTGCGTTTGAGCCAAATGTGCGCTAACCGCCATAGCTGCTGCCAAAACCAAACACCACCACCCCCCGACACGTACATCCCTACCCTTCTTCTGAAAGTTCTCTCTCCACAAGGAAGTGTTTGCACCAGAAAAAAAGAGATGTGGGAGAAACGTGTTAAAATTTTTGCTACTAATACTTATAAAAAGAAACTTTATCCCTGAGCAGAAGGTTCGCACGTAAGCCCGTGGAGACTTAGAAGCTGTGAAGGTAATGTTACATACACCACCAGAGCTACCTCATGAGGCTACTAAAGGTTAATCATTTAACATTCAGGAAGTAACTTAAAGCAAAAGTCTTACAGGCTCTTCAGCTTGCCCCTTTGCGGGTACAGCAGCCTTCTGCTGCAGGAACGGACATCATTATTTTTTTCCTTCAATTCTGCAACCCTGATAGTTTATGCTGAACTT